CTCCTAGTTTGCCACTTCGAAGTTTCCATTATATTGAAATGTGTGAGCCACCACTAAAACAGTAGTTAATATTTCTGTACTTCTTTCCCCCAAAAAAGCTGGTAAAGGCTGGGAGTTTATATTCTAAAAGAATTATAAAAGCTTATTACAAACAGCATCAAATAAGTTGTGATGGAAGAAACTAGAAGTTTGCAGAAATGTGCAGAACAGAGCAGTCTGGTATAGGAAATGCAATGAAGTGATCAAGGTTGCCAAACATGCTTAATTTCAATCAGCTATTAATTCCAGGATTTAGTAGTATACATATTAAGAATGATCTTGATTGAGGCAATCTTGCTATATTATATGATGGGACAAATAATAGCAATAGATTCCTGTCTTTGAAGCCTTTGCTCAGGTCCACTGTATCTTTTTCTCCAAGAAACTTCAGCCTGCCCCAGCTTATTTAAAATAAGTAGCCTTTTAGAAATATTTAATGGAAAAAGATGAAGGCCTGATGGCTGAGGGTCTCCAGTCTCAGATCAGATTTGTCAGCAGGCTAATGCCATCTCTTATCTCCAAATAATCAGTCACCAGGAAAACAGTGTCCTGCTGAGCTCCAAAATGATTAGTTATTACTTGGCATATCTCATCAGCTTGAGTCTGGGATAGTTAATCTGGACCATGGATCTGGTAAAAGCTGTTCATCTAAATTACTCTGATCCACAGGTAGATTCTGATTATCCTGCTCCTTACCCCTTGATGCATCTTCTGTTTCCATAGCAGCTAAAACCACAGTAAAATGGAAATATTTGGCCAAGGCTCAGATAAAAATCCCCTGGGGTAATGATTCTGTTCTACTGCCACAACAGGGGAAAAGGACTCTAAGACACAACAGCATGAAAATCAGAAAGACAAACAGAAAAGGGATAAAACACAAAAAGTAAGAGAGAAAAAGTAATTGCAAGAAAGTAGTATCAAAAAAAAAAAAAAAGCAAAAATAAATGGAATTAAAACAGACATTTAGGAGGCTATGAGAGAAAGGGAAAATACAAATCAAAAAGAGAAAACATAAAAGAGTGAGACAAAAGGAGAGGAATGGAGAAGAGTTCGGTAGTTAAGGATGTGTGTCAACTTGGCTGGGCCTGGTTGAGTGGCTGGGCAGCTGGTGGTAGTTATTCCACATGATGAGATGGGCAATCAACTCCATGGTGGAATCTACCACAAGCAGCTGAGTACCTGCTTCAGGGATGTGGTTTGCTTCCCATATGTAAGCAGCAGCTTTGGGAATGGTCTACAGCTTTTTGGTACGTTTGAATCCCGCATGTAGCACAATCTTCATTCAGTAGTCTGCCGTGCTCTGCTGACTTGGGGACTTTCGATAGACTTAAATTAATGGCCTGCTGTGTGGTTTGGTAACATTGGGACTGTACCTTGTTTTTAACCTTGGGTTTTGTTTGCCTCAGCAGCCAGCAGCTGTCTGAGTGAAGAAAAGCCTCCATCTTCAGTGGGACAGGAGCACGAGGCAAAGCTGAAACCTGAGGTTGAGGGGCTTTCACCTAGCCCCTAGAGCCTGGCACTAGGTAACCAAAGTAAAAGGAGAAAAGTACCAGGAAAAGGACAAAGTTAAGTGACCAAGGAAGAAAGGAGAGAAGACATCAAACAAGAGATAAAGAGAGGCATGTGAAGGTGAAGGGGCCATCACACCGCTTGAAACAGGTAGGCAAAGTCCCAGATTATAAATTTTCTGAAGATTCTAAATGCACAGACCACATAGGTATCCAGCAGCACTGGTATTCAGCATTGAGCCATGTTGAATGGTATGAGAGCTGGACTGAGAAAACTTGCCATTTGGAGGGTCTCTTTTTCAGATGTCCCTGGGCTGTTATCTATCACTAATTACCTCATACACATCTGAAGGTCACTGCCAGATTTTGGACCTGTCCACATGTAAAACCAAAACCAAACCAAACCCACTGCCATAGAGTCAATTGTGACTCATAGTGACCCCCATTAGGTTTCCGAGTTGGTAAATCTTTACAGAAGTAAATTGCCCAGTCTTCCTTCTGTGGAATGGCTGGTGCGTTTGAACCACCAACTTCCTGGTTAAAATTTAAACGCCTTATGCACTACACCAGAAGTTCTTATGTAAGGCCACTTCAAATTGAGAGATTGGCAAATATTCTGGTCACTTGTTTTGATACCTTTGTTCATAGTGGCAATGCCAGGAATTGTGGCTTAGGTCAGCTTCCAGCAATCAAGACCCACACACACCTTCCCAGAGAACAAACAGTTACTGTGTGAGCCAGGAAATTTTATATTTGTGTCCCATCCATAATTCTACACTGACTTTGAATGTGTTCACCACGAGACTCTACCAGCTTTTTTTTTTTTTTTTTTTAATGTGATCTGGGTGAAAATTTACAGAGCAAATTCACTTTCCGTACAGCAGTTCACATACACTTTGTCTCATGACATTGACTACAATTTACCACAATGCAACAGCTCCCCTCCCACTTCTTCCCTATAGTTACCTCTTCCCTGTGTCCATCCCTCCATGCACTACTGCCCCCTGAGCTGTTTCCCTGTGCATAAGCAGCCCTTCTTTCTCCCATGATTGTTCTCTCCAAGGAGTGAATCTACCTCAGGGAAATGTTCAACTCATATACCTGTCTATTATTGGCTGGAAGCCATAGGCATGGTTTCAATTCCAGACCTGAAGGGCAGCTAGGGGCCATAGTCTCAGTGGTTCCACCAGGGTCTATCGGACCAGCAATCCTGGTCCCCTCTGCCCTTTTATTTTCTCCAAATGATTTTGAGTTTTGTTCCACATTTTTCTCCCTCTCTATCCAGGATGTCCTTCATAGATCCCCTTCCAAGTGGTTGACATTGGTAGCTGGGCACCATCTAGTTCTTCTGGTCTCATGGTCATGTAGGCTGCAGATCAGATGGTGTACCAGTCGCTAGGACTAATTGTTTTTCCATGATTTTTTGGTTTTCTTCATTCTTCTTTGCTCTGGACAAAGAGAGACCCATCATTGCATCTAGATGGCAGCTTGTAAGCTTTTAAGACCCCAGTCGCTACTCGCCAAAGTAGGAGGTGGACAATGTTTTGTGTACTATGTTATGTCAATTGAGCTTGATGTACCCTGTGACTATAGTCCCAAGCCCACAGGTTCAACTAGTAGGTCCCTCTTGGTAGCTGGCTGTGACCAGCTTTAGAAATGGAAGCCCCAGCTGCCAGCCTCCAGAAGGATGTCTTCTCCAAAGACATTCCGCATATCTAAGGCTATATTCTTTCTGGGGGTGCCCAAATTCAGTGACCACTATGGTTATTTAAAGGACCAGTCCCCTACTCCAATGGAAAACACTTCTGAACTTCCAATGAGGTCAGCTGAGATGTCCCATTGAACTCACTGAAACTCAACTTCTCCCTCTGTCCAGTCCTGCTTCCTTCCACAGGGGTTGATCCCAGCAGCACTCCCTATAAACTTCTTCCATGACAATCACCTTCTCAGGGGCTGCTTCTTAGGGATTCAACTTGCAATACCAAGCAAACAACCACCACTCTGGTTTCTTTAGAAATTAAAACTGCATTTAAATACCTACCTACCTATATATACACGCACATATTTAACTACATGCATACATTTCTCACTAACTAGTAACAAACAATAAAATAAAGGAAGGACCTTTATTTATGTCTATGCTCAAATTTCTCCTTTTCAGAGTCCTTTCCTGACCAAATGTCTTATCCTTATGTCAATACTATTCTATTTTCTCACCCTTATCACCACCTATATTATATACTCAATTTTATCACCTGTCTTATGAGTATGTGACCTCATAAGAGCAGGAAATGTCTCTGCTTTGTGTATTGTTATATCCCTAGTGCCTAGAAAAGTGCCTGGACTATTGTAACCATTCAACAAGTATTTGAACATGAATGAAATAATTTAATGTGCTTTACTCCAAAGTAAATAATATTGTTGTTGTTATGTGCCATCGAGTCAAACCTGACTCATAGCGACCCCTCCTTGGGTTTCCGAGGCAGTATCACTATGGAAGTAGGACTGCCCAACCTTCCTGCCGAGGAGTGGCTGGTGGGTTTGAACCGCCAGCCGTCTGGTTAGCAGGCAAGTGTCTTAGCCACTATGCTACCAGAGCTCCCAAAGTAAATAATATTAAAGATAAAATCATCTTGCCTTAAATTCTAAAGGTTTTATCATCCAATACTTCAGAGCACAAACAACACTTAGCTAAGTCTACATAATTTGCAATTTAGTCACACATTAACTTTTATTTGTTATCTTGGATCAATTAAATGAAAATAGCAACAATAAAATCACCACAACAACTAATGAACTAGCAACCAGATTTTTGACAACATGGAAGAGGCAGAGACTTGGAAATTTCCTCTTTAGGAATCTGGGCATTCAGAGGTTTAATCTACCATTGTGTGTTTATGTTTTCTTTCTTAAAACAACCAGTTGTATATTACCACCAAAGCTAATAATTCTACCATCAAATTTAAAATTAATGTACACCCTGAACATCTCACCACAATTTCACCCAGAGACAACTGAGATTAATTTACCAGAAATTGGAAATATCCCCAAGTATGATTTCTGCAATCCTAGAGAATATGCCAGTGTTGCTGAGAATACCAAATCTCTCTGCACAGCCATAAGTACATTATTATCAGGCTACCAAAAATTAATACTCCTTAAAAACAGTCACCAGTGTCACAATCTCCTGTTGTTGTTGTTGTTATGTGCCGTCGAGTCGGCCCCGACTCATAGCGACCCCTCCTTGGGTTTCCGAGGCAGTATCACTACGGAAGTAGGATTGCCCAACCTTCCTTCCGAGGAGTGGCTGGTGGGTTTGAACCACCAGCCATCTGGTTAGCAGGCCACTATCTTAGCCACTATGCTACCAGAGCTCCCGTCACAATCTCCTAGCCATGGCCAAAGTGTTTCACATTTCTTTTTATGACCCATCCACCAAACTGCTTCTCTTACCTTTGGGGGAGATATGTCTCCAGGTAACTGTAGGCTCTGGTCTACCTGTTGCTATGCAGGTGAGGCTGATGTTGTTCCCTTCATTAATGGAGATATCTGAAGAAATCTCCACAATTTTGGGAGATACTGTGGAAACAAAAATGGAAGATGAAAAAATCCAAGTGAAATATTTATTTGTTGTTTTAATAGGGCATTTGGCAAAATAACCCAAAGATTGAAATCTATAGACTACAGGAGTAATAATGAGAAATTAGGGGAATTGTTTTAGACATGAAAGCAGTATCTTTCCTTGAATTTACTTTCTATTTCCTCTCACTTAAACACAAAATCAGGGAGTCTGAACAGGAATACATTTCATTGCAATACTGTAATAACTATTCTCCTTGCCTCTACCCACTTTCTGTATCCACTCTCACCCCCACCAACCTCACCGCACGTCTGCAAGTCATCCTCCACACTGCATTCAGAGTCTTCTCTTTATAATGCAATTCTGATAATAACATATCTCTTGCCTAAACACCTCCAAATACTTCCTATTACATACTTGATAAATCCAAGCTCTTTAATCCTACCATACTGGCCATTTAGAACCTGCATCAACCTATATTTCCACTAACATTTCCTGTTGTTCCACCTCTATGCACCCTCTGTATTATCTCCAATACACTGTACACCTGGTCATCATGTGTTATATCTATATTGTTCTTTATGCTCCTCCTTCACAACCTGAATTGACAGCTGCTTCTTCACCCATGATATCATTATAGACATCAGGTGGGGAATGGAAAGGAGTCAGTTAGCCATTCCACACTTGGTCTCTCTTCTTCTTTTTCCTAAAATGCTCCCCTATAGGAGGGGGAGAGGTTCATTATAATTAGTAAATTTGGAAGCAAGAACCTTCCACATACCTTCCTCTTGCTTCTTTCAGTATTTTGTTATTCAGTTGGCCTGTTTGAAGTTGACATTCAGCTGTGCTCCTCTGAGCAACTGCTGTTTTTGTGCAACACCATCTCATGGAGTATGATGAACGTCCTGCTGCCCTATCATGTGTATATGCATCTGTGTGGTCCTGGGGGTCAGAATTAGAAGCTAATTGTTGTTGCAATCCTAAATCTAAATCTCCGGTCTCAGCTTTACCACTAGGAAATGTGTTGCTTGGCTTTCCATGAGCTACACTTTTGTTTTATCTGCCAGTTGCTTTAGAATTCAAGTGAATAAAGTAAGCTGTAATTTATTGTTCCCTCACACTCCAATTTCTGGCACTTACCCCACTGTGTTATGGTTATTTGCTTAGCATCTCTCACACACTAGACCATGGGATTTTGACTGCCTGAACTATGTCTTATTCATATTTATATCCAAATAAGAGCTCTATACATATTTATTGGATTGAATTATAATACTTATCCAAGGGAGCCACCATCTCAACCTGTTACATGCTTGTAACCAACTCAGAGATGTATCATAAACACAAATTATTTCAATCCTAGTGAAACTGATTTTGACAAATTAGCTCTTTGCAAATTAAGAGGTCTCTCCACCTGGGAGTGGTATGTTTCTCTATGTAACAGTCTTTCCTTAAATAAGTGGTCCTCAGAGCCACCTTGGTGCACAATTTTGGGACATACTATCCACCCAGTTCATAGTTGATCTGGCCCATTGAAGAGTCAGGAAAGCTGCTCATGGAGTTTACTCTTTTCCCAGGACAGAGTGTGACCCTCACACTAAACCAGATGCCCAGAGACTTCAATGCTGGTCTTTCTGCAGCGTGAACCACTCCACTATTCATTCATTCCTAATTGTACAGGACCTTGTCACCCATGGAAATGAGTATATCATTTGTTTGTCTTCCTTTCTTTCCCTCTTTTTCTTATTTGTCTCCCACTACTTTCATATGAGGGGCTCTGGTGGCATAGTACCTAAGGCATTTGACTGCTAACCAGAAGGCTGGCGGTTCAAACCAGCTATTCCTTGGAAGGAAGATTAGGCAATCTACTTCTGTAGTGCTACTGCCTCAGAAACCCAAGGAGGGGTCACTATGAGTCAGATCCAACTCAATAGCAGTGAGACTTTCATATATTCCACCCAGTTGGACCATTCATTATTAATAAATGTATGTTGCACTTTTTTTTTTCTTTCCCTTAAACCTATCCTTACTGCTGTATTAGGTTTCTTAGACTCTTCTTTACAACTTTTTATACTTGGAATTCTTCAAGGTCTGGTTGAATCATTACCCCTTCCATAAGGCCTCTCAGGTAATGTAACCTCAAGATGTGACTTCTTATTGGAATTTCATAGAATGTAGTACCTCCTTTAAGGCATTTAAAATAAACTTCCTAATGTTACCTTTGTATTATATTTTCATCTATTTTATTGAATTCAAGAAATTAGGAGTTTGAGTAGTTCTTTATTTTCTGCTGTCATGAATAGGGTATCTTTCATATATCAAGTATCAATCATGTTTTAAATCTGCATACAGCTTTGGATAAAGAGGTTGTATGTGTGCACTTGGGAAAATACACTTACTTGCATTCTCACAAGTATTTGTTGATACAGAAAAAATGGAAAGTGAATGTGATGAGGATAGGGGAGTGTTGTAGTTAAGTTGTGTGTCACTTTGGCTGGGCCTGGTTTTGAGAGCTGGGCAGCTGAATGCAGTTATTCCCCATGATGAGACTGGTAATCAATTCCACAGTGGAATCTACTGGAGCAGCAGAGTAGCTGCCTTAGATATTTGGTACATTTCCAATATATAAGAAGAAGCTTTGAGGAAGGTCTCTGGCTTTTGACATGCTTGAATCCTGCATGTAGCCAAGTCATCATTCAGCAGCCTGCCATGCTGTCTGCCAATCTTGGGATGATTAATGGGACTTAAGTTAGTGGCCTGCCATGTGGTTTGATAATTTTGGGACTGTGCCTTGTTACTTGTGGACCTTGGGTTGTCAGCCTCAGCAGTCAGCAGCTGCCTCATTGAAGAGATCCCTCCACCTTCAGTGGGTCAGGAGCAAGGGGCAGAGCTGAAGCCAATGAACTTTCACCCAGCTCTTAGAGCTGGCATTTTGAACTCAGACTTCTAACATCTGAAACAGTAAGAGAATAAATCCCTGTTTGTTAAAGTAATACATTTGTGGTATATCTGTTAGAGCAGCACTAAATAACCAAAACAGTGAGAGACCTTGATTTTAAGATATGGTACTTTTCAGATGTAGCATTACAATTTATGGTTATATGGTTTTGAACCTTTCAGGACAGAAAGGTAATTGGCAAGTTAATGTCTGAGCATTACATTTGCTGTCTGAATGATTTACATTTCTAAATTTCTTAGTTCTATAACGATTTTAACAGAAATTTGCAAAAATACTCAATGTACTTTATTCACACAGTTTAAACTGGAGCAATCCCTTTCCATGCCAACACATCTCCAACCCCTACATTCTCCTGGCTCTTGCTCATCCTTGGCAACCACACAAGAACAAGACTTGCTTGTGTCTTGGAGATCAAGCTGCCTGTAGAATGTCTGTATTGACCTTGCAGACATTGCTTCAGCTGTGCAGGTAAGTAATTTATTGATCTCTAAAGTACTCTGAGATGCTTTGCAAAGGATTATGTAACACCTATGCCATGCAATAAAATAAAAAATGATGGACTTTGTGAACACAGGGTGATTTAGAATTTGTAGTTGGAAATGTGCTTAAAGTACATTTTAAGTGGAAATCAGGCTGGGTAATGAATTACTCTTGCTTTGGGAGGGCTTATTGGGAGTTCATTTTCCTGGCTTCTTGCATGATAGCTAATCTGCTAATCATACACTAGAGAACAATGGACAGTTCTCAAGTAGAATGAAAGGAACTTTGGGCCAGAGCTGTCAGCAGAGTAAGTATATCAAATGAAACAATCACACCTTATACTTGGAAGAATCATCTAGAATCCCCCAAACCCAACAACTGAACAGTGTCTGGCTCATGAAATAGAAATTGGAAAAATGCTTGCTATCTTTTCAATTCTGCCTTTGACTAGGGGGATTTGAAAGGAGGACTATTCATGGCATAGTGCTAAGGTAGTTTGATCAGAGCTGCAATTCCAATTATCAGGATTAAGTTGACATCACACATAAGATTCTAGGGGACTTGTTGTTGTTGTCATGTGCCATCGAGT